ATTGGAATTAGGTGAAGTTCAGTACTTGCTTCTTCTACCACAAATGAATATTACTTGCAGCTTGAATTTTCATAAGGTTGATTCTAGTCTCTTAGCTTGTAGTGTTGCCTTAGTTCGCTTACCCGAATTTGTTTCCAGTGAAAAGAAATCATGACATGTTAGTTTGAGTAACAAGAGCACCATACTGTGACCAATCTTGTCATAGTTCATACAGACTCTTCCTATGGAATTAGCATCTGTATATTGTATATTTTCTTGACGATTGACATCTGTGTATTGTGTGCTTGTGTCAATGCAGACTCCTCCTATGGAATTAGCTGCAAAATACCCTCTAATTGGAGGAATTTTGAACAAGTATGCTCTATTTACCAGAAAAAAATATGGATTATTTCATTTTTTGCTCGTGAATTTGTACTTAAAGCTGTAATATTTTCAGGTCTGACACTAAGCATGGGCTACATGTGTTTGACATTCCCACTGTGGCAAATGCTATTGGTCATACAGGAGTGGAATTTCTGAATCAGCTGCAAAATCTTAAGGTCTGGATGCAATTTCCCTATTATAATTTTTAATGGTAAATATGCTGTTGACAGTCTATTTTAAGCAAATGTAAATAGTCAACTGGGAATATTTTATCTTTGGTTTGTACTGAACTGCATAGTTTTTAACTTAGCTCTACTAAATTCTTTTTGTTGAGAAGCAGCAGCAACTAATAGATTTCTATCTGGGGCCAACACAAATAGCTTTCTGCAATAGCAAGGGTAGCTGCTTGAATTTGTTATTAGTCTTGTTACTGGGAGAAGCTTTGTGTACTGTGCCAGGCTAATGGTTTTATTTGGGTGATAGCCATATATTTTTTGGCTCATTAATTGGAGTGTATATGAACATAGAACATTTAGAACAACTTACACTGAAAGCTGTGCTACTTAGTCTCTTTATTTCGCTATATCAATATAAACACTTTATTTTGAGTGGAAAGGATTCAAAAACTTTATGAAGTGTAGGTATTAGTTCTTGGATACATGTCCATATCTGATACTTGGTTATTGAATCTGAATGACATAGATCAAGTGAAAAGCCAATTGATTCAGAAAAGTATAGTTCAGAAAGTTTAAAGCTGCAGAGTTAAATAAGCTTTTAGCTTTCATAAACTTTCAATTAACGGAGACCATGACACAAATATGTACGCAAGAATCACCAAGCCTTCAGTCATTACTTGGATTGGAAACAAAGATTTAAAGTCATCAAAGCAGCAAAACAGGCATGTGTAGAGATTTTATGGAGTCACACTAGCTGTCAGTTGACTATTACAATCATCCCCAATTGATTGGGTGGGGTTCAGCTAACTATTAAAACCATCCATGGTGGATTGCAATGGGTTATTACAGTATTTATCAAAAACTATGTGACTAAAGTAGTATTCAAATTCCAAAACACAAATGATATGTCTTGACTTGATTCTATATTGTCTGAGGTAATAAGTTAGTCTTTGTTGCATTTCAGTCTATGGGAGAAATAACATATGAACTGAAGGATCCTGGGTACTGCTACGTCATTATGCATGTTCCTGAGGACTTGTGCTCTCTGGCAACCCAGATGACCAAATGGCTGTCAGAAATTGAATGTTGTAAGGTATTTGCAATACTATCTGTTGTACTCTTCTTTTTATGTTAGTTTCTACTATATATAAGGTTTCTCATTCCCCCCCCCCCCCCACCCCCCCCCCCCCAAAAAAAAATAAAAATAAAAGAGAGAGAGATTAGTCCCATCTCTTTAACCTACAGGCATAACTCAAGATGGTAATGGTTTGTTCTGAGCTTGGAAACTTGCATCATTAAACTTGCTGTTTTTCTCATGGTTTCTTCTTTCTTTCAAGTATATACTATGTACCTAGTTATCAATCTTAAAAGCTGCAGCTTTTTTACATCCCTGCCTACACGGTAAAGACAGACTTGCTCTGGTCAGATTTTACATTTTTGTGACTTGTACATTTGAAATTCCTCTAGTTTTTAGGACAAAAAACTGCTCTTAAAGGTGCTACTTGATGGCATACACCAACAGAGTTGTAATATGAAACCGTACAGGAAAGTGTTTAGTTGATTAATAGTTTCCTTCTCTTTAGAAGGGTGGGGGTGGGGAATGTGGAGGTTTAATACTATTCCCGTGCAGCTTAACTCCTTGGTACAGATAATTGTTCCTGCATCAGTGAGTCAGTGATCAATCCATTGAAATTTTATGATATTTCCAGTTATTATTATTTGTTTTAATATAATTTGCATTTTTCTGATAAATAGGTCCGTAAGTTAGATGTGGTGTTCAATGCTGCAACCTTTGCTGTAAATTCATGTGAAAGGGCACATGGCTGTGATGTCGTCCAGCACACAACATGTTTGCAGAGGATGATTTCAGAATACTTTACTGAAGAAAATCTCAGTGTATATCCCACAAAGATCAAGCAAAACAGGTATATACAATTTTATTGCAGTATATCCTACCATTAATTGTTAAGCCAAAGATGGATAATAACATAGTGTATGATTGTGTCATCTTTTTTGTATATAGAAGCCACAGAATTAGCTTTTATAAAAGCTGTATATTATGATTATCATCTTTGCTAAGCCTTAATCCTCCTCTGATTCACTTTACTCTGCTAGAAGACCTTTTAATAACTTTTTGCCGAATCTTGGTATAGCTGAATAGGCCTTTGGTATTTGTTGATGGACTAGTAATCAGGATAATTGATGTTTCAACAACTCGGAATAAGAACCAAATAGCTGGTTGCAGCATCACATGATATTTGGCATCCATTATGTATAAGATATTCCCTCCTTTCATCATCTATTTCTTACTCAGTCTTCCAGTGCTATTTTTTCTTCATTGTATTGCTGAAGACTCGAAATTTTTATGTATGTTGTGAGCATATTACATGTACATGAATATAGAGCTGGATTGCTTCCAACTTATTTTTAACTTAAATATATTGTAATCCAGGTTATTCTGTATGGAGATAATCTGCCTTAACAGCTAAATATTCTGCTTTTTTAAACTTACATGTATTCACCTGTGCTGGTTCAAGATTTTGTCTAATCAAATAAAATGTGATTTGAAACTTGTTACTATTGTCTGCAGATTCAATTTTAGCTGAATTGTCAGACTTAAATTAGTATAATTGATCCTTGCAAATCAGATTTTGTAATACAAATCTTCAAGTAAGATGATAAAATGCCTAGTTGCTTTGCCTAAAACTGGAAACTTCCCCGAAAGCACAGAAAGTCTTGTTATTTTAGTACTTTTTGATATATATACTGATCAGCAATGTACATTTGTGCAGCCCATTTCTTCGAGCAGATATTAAGGTAACAATCAGTTTGGTACTTTAAATTCTTTTGGTGTTTAAGGCAACTATCTGTCTCTTGAACTTTATGCTACCTTTGTTAAAATGGCAAAATAGGTCTTTCTGCAAGGCTCAGGAACCAAATTCACCCCACGTGCAGTTGCTAGAATAATGCATGGCATTGCTAGCCCAGCTTATCCTTCTTCAAACTGGTCAAAGACTCATTTCTGGTAAGTATTACTGTTTGCAAATCCATGCCTCGAGAAATCTAGGGATTTCCCTCAGTCTTACTGGTCTCCACTTTCCAGTGGCGGAGCTAAGAATGTAATTGCATGGGTTCAATTACCATTAAGTGGAATCATGGTTTTATTAGAAAAGATATGTTACTCCAAGTAAGAACCCTCTGACAACAATGTAGCTATTCCCCTGAGTCAGTAAACCAACAATGTGGCCTTAAAATGTTCATAAGGTGGTTGAGCATTAGGTTATTAACTATTTTGTTACTATTTTTTTTTGTTCCTTTTCTCTGTCTGATTCCTGTGAACTTTTACCCTGAAGCCTCACACTCTTGACACTAGCAACTCTTTATATTGGCTATGGTAGCTATGGTGCCTTAAAGAGCCGCATAATAGTTTATTATAAATCTTAAGTTGCTTATCATTTTTGGGTTGCAGGGGAAGATATACAAATGTAGACTTTAATGCAGTAATGGAAGCAGCAAAACTGGAGCTCATTAATTTCGTAGGGAAGGATGGAACATAGATGATGTCACATAGGTTTGACAAAATAGATCTGAATGATTCTGCTGGTACAAGATCAAACATCTGGACTCTTGTGGTATGATTGCACATAATCTTATTCCGAAATTGTCATGTACAGTTTTATACTGTCCATTACCATTGAGATCAAGACTACAAATGAAGTGTAGGGGCAAGGAACCATGTCAGTGATCAGTTCCATGATAAGTGTGCAGCAGTATGATGGATCAATACTTTAATAGAGGTACGACGTCAGTCCCCAGTACATTAGCAGTAGCATTACAGAAGGCAGCAGGATTCAAAGTTTCTGACAGATACAACAGCATAGAGCCTTGTTTCACACCCCATAGTTTGTATTAGTAGAATAGTGTCAGTTCTGATATGTTAGTAGTCACCTAGTAGTAGGGTTTGAACTCTATAACGAAGAATAATTGGAGTGCACCTCAAGCCATGGAAGATGGGAGTTCATCTTGTAGTGTATCCTCCTATGATGATGCAATCCACAAGTAAAATGTTTTTATCTTGTGTCTATTACCATGGTGCCTGTAAACGTTCTATAGTAGTAGGTTTAAAGTATACGAGTTATTGGTGTTTAACTAGGCTTATGTAACACTTAGTTGATATTGAAACAGTGAAGTTTTTCTCACTTTAACGAGGACGTTTTTTCTAAATTAAATACTTATGTTCTCGTTTTTATTTTATTAAATTGTTTGGTGTTGTTACCTTGTCCAATTTCAAGTAGTTTAGGGCCCTTGATTTGCAACAGACCAACAGTACATGTTTTGAGTTTTAAAATTTGGCAGAGTAGTTTAATTTTCCAAACAAATTTATTTCAAACTTCAAATTTTAAGATCAGCATGATTACTGTTCGTGTGATTTTTTACAAGTTCATTAGGGCAGCAGATGAGTCTGTTTCAAAGCCTAAGTCAATGTGGAATAGCAAAATTGGCTACAAGGCTTACCCATAATATGCTATCTGATGATGCAAATTTAAACCAGAAAAGCAAGAGATTCAGAAAAATGAATTAATTTAAATCACTTTTCTTGCACGTTCAAGATACTTGTCCCACAAAGAAAACTAAACAATAGAATAACTAAATTATCAAACTAATTTGGCTCGCCAATCAAAATCAGGTGCAAGGCACACCCCTCTTCCAAACAAACGGCAATGGTTTCTCACTTCAACCTTTTATCTTTGATGGTGAAATTAGAAGCATTTCCTATGCACGATTGATGGACCAGATTCATCATACTCGGCCTTTGCAATCCACATCTGTAGTTGCAGAAAAACAGGCAAATGTCAAAATTCCAAAAGCAAGATTCAGATTTCACAATAATTGAAAAGATCAAAACAAAGAAACAAACCTGCTGGAAGGTGCTCAGAGATGCCAAGATAGACCCACCGATCCAAACACTGTATTTTCTCTCAGGTGGTGCCACAACCTTAATTTTCATGCTGCTTGGAGCTAGTGCAGTGATTTCCTTGCTCATTCTATCGGCGATACCAGGGAACATGGTGGTACCACCACTGAGTACAATGTTTCCATATAAATCTTTCCTAATATCCACATCACATTTCATGATCGAATTATAGGTGGTTTCATGAATACCAGCTGCTTCCATTCCAATGAAAGATGGTTGGAAAAGGACCTCAGGACATCTGAATCTCTCACCACCAATAGTAATCACCTGCCCATCAGGAAGCTCATAACTCTTCTCAACAGCAGAGCTAGTTTTTGCAGTCTCCATCTCCTGCTCATAGTCAAGGGCAATATAAGCAAGCTTTTCTTTCATGTCCCTCACAATTTCTCGCTCGGCTGAGGTGGTGAACGAGTACCCACGTTCAGTCAGAATCTTCATCATGTAGTCTGTCAGATCTCGCCCAGCAAGGTCAAGACGAAGAATGGCATGCGGGAGAGCATACCCTTCATAGATGGGCACTGTGTGGCTGACACCATCTCCAGAATCCAGCACAATACCTGCAAAAATATACACAGTAAAAAAAATTTGGCATCAAATCAGTACTACAGAAAAGAGCATAAAGAGTAAACTTAATCAATGCTCAAGTCATTCAAGAATGACAGAAGTATAGAATATTCAACTTGGGTATTTAGAAAGAAAAAAAAATGCAACACTAGTCATTAAGAACAAAGTTTTTCCTTTTGATGGGAGGGGGAGGAAAACACATGATACTCCTAGGCCTATATCGGCGGCTGGCAGCAAAGGGTCAAAATTGGAAAAAATGGTCCAACAGAATAAACTTTTTTTAGGGAACCTTTCTACATACAAACTACAAAATCAATCTAAATCTATCCATAGTGGCTTCCTAATCCAACTATCCACTTATCCAGATAAATGGCCTGATACCCTGAAAAAGCATCATCTATTTAGAAGCGAACCTTTCAAAAGTCTGAAGCTAATTTAAAACTAAAGCTTTGATCATACAGGGTTCTTACCAGTTGTACGACCACTAGCATACAGTGAAAGAACAGCCTGAATTGCAACATACATAGCAGGAGCATTGAAGGTCTCAAACATGATTTGAGTCATCTTCTCACGATTAGCCTTAGGATTGAGAGGGGCTTCAGTAAGAAGAACAGGATGCTCTTCTGGAGCAACACGGAGCTCGTTATAGAAGGTATGATGCCATATCTTTTCCATGTCATCCCAGTTGCTGACTATACCATGCTCGATTGGATATTTCAGGGTCAAAATTCCACGCTTTGATTGAGCTTCATCCCCCACATATGCATCTTTTTGGCCCATGCCAACCATCACGCCAGTGTGACGGGGGCGGCCAACAATGCTAGGGAACACAGCTCTTGGAGCATCATCTCCAGCAAATCCAGCCTACATTGAGAAGTTAGATCAATGAATTGCAAATGAATAGAAATATAAATGAATAGCTCATTCATGGAAAAGAATTTACCTTAACCATTCCAGTTCCATTGTCACAAACAAGGGGCTGAATATCCTCACCATCTGCCATCTTCAATTATCTGATCAAAGACATATAAAGGTCTAATAAATATCCTCGATGGCAAATTAAAGTTATTTAACAAAAAATCAGCATTTTAAAACCTATCCAAATTCTGTTTTACAAACAATAATGTTAAAAATCCAAATGTATACAAGTTCTCAACAACAAGAATTGTCCTCAATATATTATTACGAATACTACCTACATCCAAGTTTTATAGATCACTCTTCATATCTCATATGTTTAATTATAAATTTTACCATAATTCTAGAATCAGACAACTAGTATCATGAAAAGATGCTTCTCCTCAACATTTGTATAAATTATCAAGAGTAATTGACGATTCATAGTTTTACGTCAAAAATAACCTCTAACAAGCTCAAACCAAATGTGCCCTTTTAAAGAGGAAAGGAAGAGTAGTGACCAAAAGAATAATTCACAAGTCATTTCGTTAAACGATCCAGGATCCGGGTTCATTAAATACAATGGATATCAAGATACTGACGCAATAAAACAAACCACCCAAATGCGGATCATATTATGGGAGAATTATTAGATTGAAAATCACCCAATTAACACCACAATATGCTTAAAATGCATATCATAGGAAAATTTAAATGAATTTTGATGTAGCATTTGGGTTATTTGGGCTTTAAAATCACAATCATAGGTTAAATCCTACATCAAAATTCATTTACATACCAGCTATAATCCAAATTAGTTAAAACATTTAACCCAATAAAAGCAATTTTGCACCACATTCAACCACACCACACAAATTTTAAACAAAATATATATTCAATGTGACGTAATCAAGCAAAAAGATACCACATTTATGAAACTAAATACAAAATGCAAACCCAGAATAATTAAAACTCTAATAAACAATCAGTAAAAACCCAGAATTCAAACCAGAAAATGGTGCAGAAATCAGAGAAATGAAGCTTGAAAGGAAAAGGGAATTACCAGAGATAAAGAAAAAGAGAAAATGTGAAGAAGAATCAGAAGATTGATGAAGAAAAAACCCTAAAAATTGGAGAGAGAAAGGGGAAGAAGTATGATGTATGTGAGAGTGTCAAGGAGAGAGAGAGAACCGGAGAACCTTTGAATTTGCAAATTTCACGAGTGGCCAAGCACGTCGAGGCAACTATACTAATAATAAAAATTTAAACAAACATTTTTCAAAAAGAAAAATTGCCTGGAATTATTCCACTTTTGGGATGGGATATTCGCTAAAAATAATTTTACTTTTGGGTTATTTTTAAACAATCCGACCTTTATACCCAATTCGCTTAAAATGAACCCAACCGGCTAGGTAACTTGTTATAATAAGTTATCAGACACGCAGCGACCTGTGATTGGTCAAAAACATAAAAATAAAATAAAATAATTTTTTAAAAAAAAGTTAAATTTTTTGTTTACAAAAAGTATAAAAATAAAAAATTAATATTCAAAAAATCACCCACCGCCTAAGCCACCGTCGTCCCCGCCACCTGAGTCCCCTGCCACGCGGCTCAGGTCAACAAGCCCCCAAAACCAACCCCAGCCCCGGCTCCAGTGCGCGACCAACCCCCCTCCCCTAACAACCAATCCCCTCCCTCCCCCACGAATCGGAAACACCGACAACCCTAAAACCATCCCCAACCCTCGAAAGTCCCTTTCCCGTCCCGATCCCAGCCCCCGTCCCCGTCCCCGTCCCTTTTCCGGCCGTGCCAGCCTTCCCTATTCCCCATTCCGACCGCACCGTCCTCCCCTGACCTCGATTTAGGCCGCGCCGACCTCCCCAACCCGTTTCCTGGGGTCTGGTTTGGTGGGTTTTCGATTTTTCAAAGGGCGTTTTGGGGTTGGGTTAGCTGGGGTGAGATCCCGGTCGGCGCGGTCGTGGCAGTGGTTTCGGGTCTTGGTGGGGTGGTGGTTCTGGGGTCTGGGTTTGGATGGTGGTGGGGATGGTGGTGGCTGAAGTGGTGTGGCTTAGGTGGTGGTGGGTTTTATTTATTTGATTTTACTTTTTTTTTGTTTATTTTTTTTTAATTTTGGACAAATAAAGTTGTGACACGTGTAAATTAAACTGAATAAAAAAAAAAACTTACCTCTTTAACCGGTTACTGGTCACTCGGGACCATTTTGAGCGGATTAAGTATAAAGGCCGGATTATTTAAAAACCCAAAGGTGGTTATTTTGGGCGGATGCCCCAAAGGTGGGATTATTCCAGACAATTTTTACTTTTCAAAAAACTTTTGAAAATTAATAAAATTTGTACAATTTTTTTCTAAAAATAATATGCAATTTAGACCATTTTACCAAAAAATTCTGTTATGGATATGGAAATGACCCAATAAAAATCTCAGGAGAAACTTGTTTACCCCACCTTATTTATAAAGTTATTGATTATAAAGTATTTAGGTATGTTCAACCGATCAAATCATAAAAAATCGGGTTATACGAGTATGACAAATATTATGAGCATATTTTATTGAAAAACATAAATTCATATAAGATCATATATGTGATCAAATCACATTGACTCATATCACAATAGGTTAGAGTAGATTAGATAACTTATTTTACTATGTAATACGGATTAATAATTATCAAAAAATTTATTTATAACATAGTATCATTATTGTAATTTTATTTATAAGACAATATCATTATTACAATTTCATTGTAATTTTAAACAATTTCTAGGGAATTGATTATATTACTATAATAATAAATTATTATTATTATTATTATTATTATTATTATTATTATTTAGGAAAAATTGGTAAAAATAATCCCAACTTTCACATATTTGCTTTAAATAATTCCAACTTTGGATTATTTTTAAATAATTCGAACTTCGGGGGTCATTTGATCAAAATAGTCCCAACTGGTCACCCAACCTGTCATAACAGGTTGAGGTGACACGTGTCACCATGTGATTCGTTGAAAAATAAAAAAAAAATTAAAAAAGAAAAACTTAAGAAAATTGAAAAAAAAACACTGTCGAGCACCTCCACCCACGAACCACCTTCTCCACCACCACCGCGGCGACCAAAACCCCCCTCCCCATCCACGTGCCGGCCAAAACCCCCCTCCCCCGCGCCGGTAACTCCACCTACCCCCGTCAGCTCCCTTTCCCCCAAAGCCACCTAAACCCCTAAAATCCCTAAAAACGACCTCCCCGCCGCATAAACCCCCAACCGCCCCTCCCCCCACCTTTGGAACCCTAGCGCTAAGGTTCTGATGGTGGGGGGAGGGGTGTTTGGGGGTTTTATGCGGCGGGGTTGCTAGTTTTAGGGGTTTGGGGGCTTTTAGGTGGCGGGTTTGGTGGTATTGGGGAAAGGGGCACTAGGATGGGCGGTGCCGACGCGGGAGAGGGGATCTGGGCGCAGCAGGCCAGGGTGGCGACCGGCGACGACCTAGCTAGGCTGGGTTGTGGGAGGTTGTTGCCGGAGATGGGTGGCAGCTGGGTTTTTTTTTTTTTTAAGTTTATCTTTTTGTTCTAATATTTCAACCAATCACGAGATGACACGTGTCTATTAAACAAAAGAAAAAAAAAACCACCTCTTTAACAGGTTAACGATCACTTGGGGCCATTTTGAGCGAATGACCCCCAAAATCCGATATTTAAAAATAATCAAAGTTGGAATTATTTAAAGCGAATACGTGAAAGTTGGGATTATTGTTACCAATTTTTCCTTATTATTGATGAGTCATATTTATGTAGGATTTATAGGCACGTTTATGCTACTTTTATAGTTGCTTTTTAGATCTTTTGTTGCTTTTTAGGTCGCAAATACATAAGTTGTTTGTTTTGTACTCTTTTACGCTTCGTTCGTGTTTTTCTAAATGTTTCAGGTGATTTCACAGTCGTTTGGACGATTTCGATGTGTTTGGAGTTGATTCGGATGATATTTGGATGGAAGTCGATGATTTGAGTTTATTAATCAAAGATCCCATGTTTATGGATGTTGATTTTGATTATTGTGTGCATGGAAAATGAACATAGCATTCACAAGGGTCACTATGTGCCTTTCCGAATTGAATTTGAGTTGAAAACGAAGTTAAACGATGGTTACCAAAGTGTCAAAACTGACCTTTGTTCACTCTTTTGAGCATAACTTGAGTTCTACAGATTGGATTTAAGTGATTCAAGTTGCATTGGAAACTAGACTTGAAGAGCTTTCCAACGTTATGTCACATGCCTATATAAAGCTTATGCATCAGAAGTTACAAACCTGTGAAGTTGACATAATGCCCAACAGCGAGTGAGCGAGAGCTTGCGAGCTAGCTCGCATGTGCCGAGAGGAACACCCTGAGCGAGAGCTCTCTCGACCAGGGAGCTATAGCTCCAACTGACCCACGACCGCAGAAAGCAAGGGGCAACGCAATACGTCTTTCGCTTGGCCCTCGATTCCATCGAGCATCTTTGTGCCACGCATCTTGTATTGTCCTATCGTTTGACAACTTGTATAGTTTATATTTACTTATTTGTTTTCTTTTTTTATTTTTAGATTAGAATTTGAGGAAATTATAAATACTCAAGGAGATATTATTTTCTCCTTACGCTTTTTATTATTTTTATTCGTTCGTTTTCTTTTCTCTCTAGCCATAGTTTCTCTTGGGCAATTCCATGGATTTTTCCATGAATTGCTCTTGAGTTTGTTACATTAATTCTTAGAGGTATTTTATTTTTCTCTTTTAATAATGATTTCTTTATTAGATTTAGATTTAATTATTTATTTCATGCTTGAGTAGTTTATTTCTAGGGTTTGGGAATCCATGTTTATACAATGAATTTTGATTGATGTTATTGATATCGTGATTATTCATATCACTAATTGATAGTGTTATAATGTTAATCTTGCAACCTGATCAATTGTTTGATTAGTTATTGTTAATAAGAGTTTGAATCGAAAAATCGTACTTTTAAAGGCTTACCTACAATTAGTAATTTTGATTATGTTAGCGATCGAACTACATATGTTGAATTAAGAGCATTAATACCTGACCGTAAGCTTAGCAATTGCTCTAGATACTTGATTAATTGAATTGTTGATGGTATTTTGATAGATTTAGAACTATAAGCATGTTGAACCATAACCCTAGGCCTTTTTATTATTTTTTTTTCCCTTATTTTAGTTTAGATAACTTTTCAATCTCAAATTTCGTGACTTATTTTAGTTTCTCCAATTCCTTAGAAGTTAGATTGAATATCATCTCCCATTCGACCCTTCTTACCCTACTACATTGTTAGTTGATTTTGTTAGGAATTTATTATTGTTGTTGTTGTTGTTGTTGTTGTTATTGGTGTTGTTGTTGTTGTTGTTGTTGTTGTTGTTGTTGTTGTTGTTGTTATTATCTTATCTCCACCATATTCAAATAATTTCAGTAAAAATAATTAAGGTTGCAAAAATACGTTCATTTCATCAAAAATAAGTTTTAAGTGGTAAAGATCAGTAATTATAAATAACAAATATTCGTGTAATAGAAAATCAACAAAATAAGTTTTAATAAGTAAAAATTTAATAAAAACAAACCAACCTTTGCTCATTTCTCCCAAAATGGACCAACATTTAAATCTTCCCAAAATAAACACAAGTTTGCAATCCACGTGTCATGTCCTAATTGGTTAAAAAAAATTTATATATAATTTTTTTTTGATAATTAACAAAAATTATTTATTTTATTTTTTTAAAATTCTGATAATTTACAAAAAAAATAAAATAAATAAACACCCTCCTTCCGCACCAGTTTCCCCTCCCCTACGACAGCCGGCGCCCAACCCATTCCCCCGGCTCCGGCGACCCACCCTCCATGAAACCACTCAATGCTATCCCAAAATAACCCCACATACACTACTTACACAGTTACATACTACCCATCACCCTCAAAAAATTTACCACATCCACCATGAAAACCAACAAAAAAATCCTAACCATCTCCGTAAACACCCCTAACCACCCTCATAAACAACCCACAAACACCCAAACAAGACTAGATCTAACAATAATTACTCAGAAAAACAACCAAAAAACAAGATCTACGGTAGTAGATGCTGGCCAGGATTGCGCGGCTGCTTGCGGTGGCCAAAAATGTTGGCGATATGCTGGAGGTTGGCGTGGTCAGGTGGTCAAATGCTTGCGTGAGAATAGAGGGAGTAAGGAAGTTGTGCGGTTTGGTGATGGCGAGAAAAGCAGGGGGGTGAAGGAGTAGTGGGAGTTAGCTAATGTTGTTGATAGGTGTGGTTGGCGGTGAGCGTTACTGCGTGAGTGAAGGAGATTGAATATAGCAGGCAGGAAGGGAAGGGAATTGGCGGGCGGCGAGAAAAGAAATGAGGTATAAGTTGTGCGGTTTGGTGGTGGCGAAAAAAGCAGGGAGGTTTAAGTTTTTTTTTTTTTTTTTTTTTTTTTTTTTTTTTTTTTTTTTTTTTTTTAAAAAAAGATAATTAAATGGAAAGAAAATAAAAATAAAAATAAATGACCGGTTGCTTGGATCACAAGTCATTTGGGTTTGTTATGGAAGAAAAAATACAAACTTGTGTTTATTTTGGGAGAACAGAGCAAAGGTTAGTTTGTTATTAAATTTTCCAAATAATTTAAGTTCAGGAAAAAATTATTTAATATTAGTAAAATTTATTTTAGTTTAGCAAAAATAAGATAAATTGAACAAGGTTTTTACTTTGTTCATCTAAGTTTTTTCACTAAATACTCCCTTCATCCCTTTTTTTTTTTGCCCCATTGCAATTTTATGGGTTAAATTAATAAAACTTTGACCATAAATTCCGGATAATCTATAAGTGATAATATATTTATGTAGGTTCTTATTAGAATCATCTCATTGTATATTTTATTAATATCAAATTTTTCTAATTTTTATGCGTATAGAAATTGAGATATATATTTTATACGTTTGAACACGCGTCTTGGAGACCGTGGAAAGTCAAATGGGGCAAAAAATAAGTGACAGAGGGAGTACACATGAGTATAGCACTAGATTAGTGTATGTGCGATGCACGGAAGTAATAATCTTTTTTCCCATAATTAATTTGTGATATAATATAAAAATGAGGCAACTTATGTGGAATAAACAAATACAATGCATATTCTTTCTCCTTTTGTTGATAGTCTATTCTCCTATCATTGATATGGATTTAGCTACGTACCTTGTTTGAATCCTTGTTTAACAGTTTACAAGAATTGAAAATTTGGAAATATGTTTTCATTTATGA